ACTTCCGGCGGAAACAGCCTCAGGACGCAGCGGTTTGGCGAGTCCAGTCCCCCAAGCCCCTCCTTCGGTCCCAGCTGAAGACCCTCTTCCGCTCCTATTATTCAGTGCAGACAGCCGAGTGGCAGGCCCACCCTCTCCACAGTTCCCGCACCACCCTCCCACGGTTCGCACTTCACGACCAACTCTTCCACCTCAATGCCCTGGAGTGGGCAGCCAGCTCTGTCGAGGTGATGGCTGTAGCTGCCAAGAACGTGGCCCTGCTGGCTTACAACCGCTGGTACCAGGACCTAGACAAAATTGACCAAAAGGATTTGATGCACAAGGTAAAGACTGAACTGTGAGGCCTCCAGGGCAAGCCTCGGAACTTTCATCCCCTCCTGAAAGGGGGTCACCCCCCACAGCGCCCAAGACTGCAACAGCCGCACTCGTCTGCCAACCCTCTTTCTGACGCCTTGTGTGTCTAGTGTCTCCTCCCTCCAGCGTGGGTGCAAGTGGCCTGCTCTCTGCCTCTCCATCTTAAAGATTCTCAGAGTGGGGCTGTTTCTTTTTAAGGGAGAGAGTCAGAGAGGGGAAGGAAATTCAAGCTAGTGTATTCATTTTATTTATTTTTTTAAAGAAGAAATAAAAACCTTCAGCTGCTTTTGAGTTGTTTTTCTAACTAGGAGACAGGGATAAATATGGGAGGGACTGTAAGAGAACTCCGAATCTAATTTTTTATTGTGTTTTACTACCTACTCCCAAAATGTAACTGAAGCAACACAAACAGCGAAACATAGCCCAATGGTTACAAATAAAGCAGAAAGGAAGATCAGAAAACAGAAGGCATGGTAATAGCTCCTAACTGTCGGTTTGCTAGATCTGTTGTACCTAGTTAAGAACGTACAAGACACTATCCAAGCTTCTCAACAACACCACATGCTGGGGGGAGATGACTGGTAGGACCCAGGGAAGAGAGGGTAACCCCAGCAGAGCTGCCTGTGTAGCCCCGAGCTTCCTGGCAACCAGTAGAAAAGGGGAAGCATGCCAGGCCTTCAGAAGTGGAAAACTTTCCCTTGGAACCTGGAGGAATTAGCCATTCTGTCCACTATGTAAGGGTTTAGGAGTAATATGATGATCTGTCTTGCAAAGAGACAGGTTCCCAGATGGGGGAGGGCCTTCATATCTCACCCCCAGACATTCACCTCAGCAGAGTAAAGGAGGAAAATAAGGTGTCAGGATAGAGTTCTTTAGAGGTTAACCTGATTTAGATGCCCAAGTCTCACCTAGACCTGCTAAATCCGGCTCTGGGGTTGGGCCCTAGAAGATACAACACTGCCAAATGACACCGACATTGGGACTTGCCTCACAGGAACAGCCCCAGAAGTCATTCAGCTAATTTCTATCTCTTTGCGGAGATGGAGATAAAAGCCCAAGGTGAGGAAGTAACTTGCCCAAGGTCTCTTGGTGAATTTATAGAACAGAGCTTAAATCGAGCTTCTCCTTAAAATTAGCATGCGGCAAGATACCCTTCGAGTAGGGGGAGGCCAAACTGGCTTTGAAGTTGTTTTTACCATGCCAAGGTGATGGTACTGAAAGATGGTGCCTTTGAAGTGCGAGAAGCATGTACTTGTTGGTTATTATAGGAATCGTGAAACTGACACATCAGTAAGAATGCTTTCGGTTGAAGTGGTAGAAAACCAAACCCAGACTGGCTTACGCAATAAAAGCGTTTTATTGTTTATCTTAAAAGTCCAGGCACAGGGCACTGTGCAGTGCTAGCACTATGACTTCTCATGGTCAAGGACGGCTTCCAACATCTCCCAGGGTGAGAGGCTTCTCCCACGACCTCTGAACCAAATTCTGGGCTCTGGGCCAGATAGGTCCCTGCTGAACCAATTCCTCTGGCCAAGTGACTGCCACATGTTGATTGGCTTAACACACAGCTACTGGACCAGGGATGTGATTAGGCTGATTGGCGTAGAACAGTCAGGTCCCACCCCTGGAACAGAGGTGGTTTCATCCAAACTACAAGGTCAGGGGGTGGAAAGGGTGTTGGAGAGACGCACAATGTCAGCCACACTCAGGATAGGGGCGGTACCCTCCCCCTCCTCTCAAGTCCAGTGAAATCAATGTGTAATGGTATCCTTTCATGGTCTGTGTTTGAAATGATGCTACAGGCTGTCATGATGTAACTGATGACCATTGGTATTGGGCCATAGAACCGAGGCCAATACCAAATTTGTCCCTGATAACCACCCCTCCTTTGCATCCCTAAGGATGTGCACGGAAGAGGCAAACCAACTCAGTTACCCTTGATCCCCAGTGGTTGGCCGGGGCTTTGGCTCCAGGCCCCAGCCTGGCTGCAGTGGAGCTGGCTGGTTCTTCAGAAACTTCCTTTATCTGGGTAGGCAGGTCTGAACAGCTCGGAAGCAAATCGGGCCAAAATGCCTACACTGCCTGCTTCCCCAAGCCCACACCTGAGAGCCGGATCTTACCACTTCCCTGTCTGCAAGAAAAGGCCACAGATTCCTGAAGACAATGGAGAGGAGCATGGGACCCAGCAGGAAGGCTTTGCTCCCAGGCCCACCCTAGCCTTCTCAGGCTAGGACAGAAGCCCCCAAGGGCCCACAGCCCCCTGGGAGAAGAGAGAGTGTTTGCAAAGACAAAGGGAGACCTATAACCTGCCAAACAAAACAGGAAAGAGGCCACACTCACCCTCAACAGTCCTGGGGGCAGTGTAGTACCCATTTAGAACTCGCAGGAACTCCACCCCTAGAGCAGATGACCCAAGCAAGATTTCAGCACTTTGGGGGCAGTGGGGCTGTGGAGGGTAGAATGAAGGATCAGTGAAGAATGGCGGGGAGGGAAGAATGCCTTGCTCCTGACCTTCTTTTGAAGAAGCAACAGAGGAAGCTGGCGCAGACCTTGAATTCCCTCTAGAGGCCTCTGTGCATGAATGCATGTATTCATTCATTCACCAAGCCCGGCACTCCTTTTTGGCACCTGACACTGTGCTAGGTGCTGGGGATGCCGCTCTGAAGGATGCAGATGAGGCCCCTATTCTGACGGAATGGGGGTTTCTCACCAGACAGTGGAAAACGTGAAGCACACACGTTTAAACTCAGACCAAAGGGCGTTCCTCTCCTGCTGCCTTTAAACCAGGAGACTGGGAAGGGCCAGCTGCCAGCCCAGTTCTCACAAGACCAAGCTCCTGAGTTGGTAAAACTGCCAAAGACCCGGAGAGCCCTAAATCCCATCTGCTGATAATCACGGATAAGAAAACTGAAGCCCAGAAAAAGGAAAAGGCAACATTTCTATCAAACTAATAAACTAACCGGCGTTTATAGAGGATCTCTGTCTGTCCGATGCTCTGGTAGGGAGTTAAGACAGCCCATCCCACCAGATGAGGAGTTTCCACATCCAATCTCTGTGCCCCAGGGCACCAGGGGTCTCCACCCAAGACTAGAGCACCCCTTGTGCTGCTCGAATCTTCCCACGCCCTAACCCCACAAAAAGGCTGGGAAGGCTGTGGGTCCCTCATATGCGGCTGAAGCCCTACAGCCTGGAGAGCAGGCTGTGAGGGCCTCAGAGGCAAGTAAACCCCAGGGAGGACAAGCGGCTGCTGAAGGCATCAGCTTGGGCTGGCACAAGAAGTCTATTTTCCATGTATCTGGAACCAGGCCGAAGCTTCCTGGGGTAATTTTAACCAGTATCCACTCTAGAACAATACCAAAAAAGGTAAGTTACTTACCATCCCAGACAGACACATACCTAACCAATGCCCTTGCATGAATTAGACCCTTCAAACATTCAGAGCTAAAGCTGCTTTAAGCACTGAAGTTAGAGCAGCCAAGTAAAGAATTCCTATATTGGCTGTTGGCCCTCTGATGGAAATTAACTCTAACGTGACAGCTATTCTTACCCTCAGAAAAAAGCTTGAGCCCCTCAGCTGTCCTGGGGGAGGGAAGGTATTTTTAGACCTACGAGCAGCTGATTCAGGATTTGTTGCAGGGGCTAGGAGGGTAGGAGGATTATATTGCAAGGGGCTTATCAGGGGTGTGGAGTTAGCATCCAGGGGGTCCGAGTCAGCAAGGGCTCTACGACAAGTCAGTCCACACTGCCTTTTTAATCAACAAAGTGTCTTGCTATAAGCCAGAGGTTCTTGAAGTGTGGTTCCCAGACCAGCAGCAGCACCCCCTGGGAACCACTGTATCAAAAATGTGAGTCTCAGCCCCCACCTCAAACCCACTGAATCAGACCACTGCATGGGGGCACCTAGCAATCTGTGTTTTAACAAGCACTCCGGATGACTCTGGTGCTAACTCAAGTTGGAGAATCACTGATATTCAGCAAACAACCTAACCAGACCCCCTTGTGGATAAAGTTGGATGAAAAAAATGATCTACATTTGGTGCTTCTCAGCTCTTGAGTGTTTGTTCAAAGGCAGGGATCCCCAGCCCAGAAAAATGCATTCCCATGTGAAAATTTCAGAGGTTTGCTGGCCCAGATTAAAAACCCCTGCTCTTTGGAAACCCAAAGTCTCTTCTCTGAGTCTGAGGCTCACCTACAGAAAATCTGGGAGTTGAAAGTGGCCTTATAGATTATCTAATCCACCCAAAGTAGGAATCTGTTCCCCAGTATTCTTAAGAGACTCAGCTTTAGTGGGACCCTTCAGAGATAGAGAGCTCACTGCTTCCAACGAGCTTATTTGCAATAGTCCTTGACTTAATTGGGGAGAGTTACGACTTGGTCACTCCTATATAGGTTTACACCAACCAAGTTCCAATAACATGATTAAAATAAAGCTTATAAACCCAAAATTTAGGACAGTATGTGACTGTCCTAAACGTAGAAATGAATGCAGTATTTTTTTTTAATAACCTATCTCAGTGTCAGAGAACTCTGAGTGATGGAATATCCTCCTTTATATTGATCCGAAATCTCCCTCCCAGGAACCGCCTAGGCCCACCCTGGTTTTGGCTTTGAAGCCACAAGGACCAAACCCAGGGTCTTGCTGTAGGAAAGACAGCGTTTACTTTTCACTGGCCTCGCGCGGCATGGGAGTGCAGGGAGGCCGGTCTCGGGCTGCCCGCAGGCTCTAGGCCTGGGCGGTTCAGAAGATGCAGGTACAGCCCACAGCGATGGTCTCCATGACCGCGCGCTGGCGACAGGGCCCGGTGCGCGGCGGCAGCGGGCAGAGGCGGCGGCGCACAGGCACCTGGCTGAACACCGGCACGCTCACCATGCTGCGGTCCTCCTGCATGGTGAAGGGGTTCACGCAGCCCAGACACAGGCACCGCGCCTCCGGCAGGTCGGCAGGGATGCGGCTGGGGTCATGATTGATGCTGCGGGAAGGCAAGAGAGAACGCAGGGCAGAAGGGGATCGGGGAAAGAGCAAATCAGTGTCCACGCCCCTGCTTTTCCTAACCTGAGTTTTCATTCCCACAGCAAGTCTGTGCTCTGCTGGAGGAAGGACAGTAATCAACTCCGTGTTCTAGGAGAGAAAACAGATCTTGGAAGGCAAGTCAGGTGCCCCAAGGTTATCCAGGTTCAAGGTCCCGGGTCAGTCTCCCCATTTCTCTTTTTTCATCCAGCAAGATGCCCATCCTGGTACTAGTTGGTGCTGTGCGGTTGCAAAGAAGCTACAGACCCTCTGTTTCCCCCACCGTGCCACCTTGTTTACAGTCTTGAGAAACTTAATCCAGGGGAAATAATATATGAGTACATTGATGCCTGATCCCCACTGGAAAAGGCATCCGGAGGCCTGGGGTCTATTCTGACTTAGTTTCTATTCATGCAACAAATGTTTTCCACACACCACCATGTGAGTGAGTCTGTCCTGGGCGTTAGGTGCTCACTGGCGGACAACACAGGAGGGTTCCCTCCTAGAGCTAGAGTGCAGGGACTTGCTTTGTGACCTTCCCTGGGCTGTGCCTCGGTTTTCTCCCTTGCTAAATGTGGAGGGTGAACTTGACTTGTGGACCTGCAGCAGCAGCCATCATCTGGGGGCTTGTTCAAAATGTGGAATCTCATCCCTCCCCCCCGCCACCACCCTCACCCCCCCCAACCTCCTGAAGCAGAACCTGCACTGTTATAAGATCGCCAAGGAAGTCGAGGGTGCAGTAAAGCGAGAAGCCCAGCTTTGGAGGAATTATGGGGACCCTTCCAATTGCCACATTCCAGAGATGGTAGCCACTAACGGCATGTGGCTTTTTAAATTTAAATTAATCAAAATTAGCTCCTCAGTTGCTCTAACCACATTTCAGGCACTCAGTAGCCACAGGAGCCTGCTGGCTACCATGCGGGACTTTACATTATCACCCAAAGTTCCACTGAGCATGCTATTCTTGAGTCTCAGGACAGAAGTTGTGTGACTAAAAGACCTTCGGTTTGGGTTTGTGAGTGAAGACCCTTCAGAGTTAGTTTATTTCTTCATTATTCATTCAACACATATATATGTGGTCCCTACTGTGTGCCAGGTTCTATGTGAGGAAGTGGAGCTACAACCAAGGTGAGACACCACCCCCATCACCGAGGGGCAGCAGGTTGTGACCCCCAAGCCTGGCTGTGCATCCTGATGTGGAGATGGGCCTCAGCCCTGGAGGTTTGACTGGGTGGGCATGAGAATCCTTAGATGACTCTGACACAGGCATTGGGAAGGTCCTAGTCTGGCATGAGACAGATTTGGGCACAGCCAGCTCAAAACTGACTACAAGCGCGATAACCGAGGCATGTGTGCACGGCACCCCAAGCTGAAGGAAGTGACATTTGGAGAAGGCCTTGCAGGCGCTTCAGCAGGGACTTGATAACAGCAGTGCTCTACATGAATGTACCATTTAACAAGCCTGTGAAGTAGTTACTGCTGTCACCTCCATTTACAGTTGAAGAAACTGAGGTTCAGAGAGGCTAAACAACGTGCCCAAAGCCACACAGCAAGTAAGAAGCAGAGCCAGGATTCAAACCCAGGCATTCTGGCCTCCGCATAACAAGGTCTTACCTATTACAATGACAGGGACAGTGGGCAAGTTGCCCCCACACTCCCAGCACGCAGCTTGCCCATGGCTGCCCAGCCCGGCCTACCTGTAGCCCCAGGGTGACAGGCTCCTCTTGTTAGACAGCCACAGCTGCAGGTTGACCTCACACTTCCGCCTTGCCGCCTCGGAGCTGTTTCTCAGCTGGGCCACCATCTCCCCAAGGTTCCTTTCGTATTCCTCCATGCGAGCATATGGCTTCGCTCGTGATACCAGGTCCAGTGGCATCTGATGAGGCCCAGGGGCCAGGGTCCCAGGCCGCCCTTGCCCCTTCCTCTTGCTTTTGGGGTTCCTGGGCTGGCCCAGCCCCAGGAAGATGGAGATGATGAGAAGAAACAGCTGGGGAGGAAGACCACCGGTCAAAGGGGAGAGAGCCAGATCTCCATCTGGGCCCAGGGAGGGGAGAGGGAAGAGGAAAGGCCTTCTGGGGGCAACGCTCACCTGCCATACCCCGGCCTGGTCCCACCAGCCCACCACATGTGTACCGACACTTGTATGTACCATGCTCATCGCTAAGTCCTGTCTGTTGCACCTCTGAAAAATCTCCCCACCCATCATGCACTTCGCTCTCTCTGCACCATCATCCTCACTTCCTTAGACAGGTCTACAGCCTCTTACCTTGTCTTCCCAAATCCCCCCCTGGCTCCTTCCAATCAATTCGCCACACCAGGGCTAAGAACAGCTGTTTGAAATGCAAACCTGATCATGTCGTCTTCCCCTGGGACTGAGCTCTCCCTCCTCAAATCATTCCTGGCTTCCTCTCATACCTGTGTTTCAGCCTCTGGCCTTCTTTCAGTCCCTTGCTCTCACCACGCTCCTTCCTGCCACAGGGGCTTCGAACAGGCTGCTACCCGGGGAGCCCTGCCTCTCCTCACCTTCTAAACTCCTCTCGCCCCTCCAGTGTCACTTCCTTAGGGGTGCCTTTGTGGACCTTCTTGGGCTCTCAACACCACATGCTTCTTGTGTGAATACAGTCTTCCAGTGTGTATGTGTGATTCTTTTATAGTCTGTCCCCCACTAAGCACAGACTCCAGGTAGGCAGGCATTGCGTCAGTTTCCACACACTGTCTTACTCCTGTGTCTGAGTGAATGTATGGCTGTCACCATCCCTGCCTGCTGTAGCTTATAGTCTGGGAGAAAGAACAGATGGTGAACAAGAAAACAAGCACCTAATCTCACTAGAGACAAGTGCAATGTTGGGACCGCGCAGCGCCTTGTTAGAGAAGAGCAGGGCCACCCGCTTAGCGGTGGCAATGGAGGGGTCCCTTCAAGCCTTTCTGGGGAGCAGACAAGTCAGGTGAGGTTTGAAGGGTAAGAGGGAGGCAGATGTGGGCAGAAGGAGTCTAAACATCTTACAGGAAGGGGGAACAGCGTGAGTGGAGGTTTGAGCTGGTTAAGAGCTTTGCTGAAAGGAAATAGGCTGAAATAGAGTGTGCGGGAAGAGGGAGCATGAGATGAAGTTGGGGAGATGGACAGGTCTCGGCCAAGGATCCCTGCTGGACTCCATGACACCTGTGCTCCCCTCTTGCATCCCCCTAACCCTCTGTCTGCTCCACCCTCACCCACTCCACATCTATTCCTCACCCACTCGTATCCACCCTCACCCGCCGCCATCCACTTCTCCCCCCAGAACCAGAAGTGTCAGGAAAGCCTCTGGCTCACACAGGAGAGGACCCAGAGGCCCGGCAAAACCCAGACTCCTCAGGAAGGCTGGGAGAGAAGGGTCAGGATTTAGGTGAGGGCCGGGGCTGGCCAGAAGGGAGGAAACTTCAGGGGGAGTTTTATCTCCTCATTGAATCTAGCCAGGCTCCTACCTGTCCTGTGTTCCGCATCCCACCACCAGCATGGAATGTACCCTGGGTACCAGGTATCCAGGCTACCCAGCAAGTCTTGACCCTTGGAAACAAGTTTCAGCGTAGCCCCTCCTGGCAGAGCCATTTCCTGGTGCAAAATCCGTGACAGAGATTCACATTGCTAAATTCTTCTATTTTGGTCCTAGATTCCAGGGCAGAAAATGTTCTCCCTAACAATAGGCTTTCTTATCTCATCTGAGCTTCTCACTTGCTGTTCTTAAATTCTGGTTCTTCACTCAGAGAAACCCAGAGTAGAATGAAAATCCCCCTTCCCTCATGTTACAGATGGCGAACAGAGACACAGAAGGACTTGCCCAAGGTCACACAGCCTGGCTCTCAGGACCCAGGCACTCTTTGGAAAAACCCCGATCATTGAGTTTGCCAGAATCTCCCCAGATGCCTTTGGCCTGAAAAGGCTTCAGTGGGGATGGGCCGAGCCCAGTTCAGGAGCCTGAGCTACTGGCCATGGCTGCACGATCTGAGACCAGTCTGTTTCTCTCTAGTCCTGGGGGAGAGGACAGAGGGAGAACTTGATTCTGCAGATTCCAAGCCAAACAGAGGCAGCCATTAATCAATAGTAAAGAAGTAACGAAACACTCAGGCCCCCAAAAGGGGTGGGGGTAGGGTGGGGAAGCGCCACGTACCAGGTTGTACGACCAGTCCATTCCGACGAGCCAGGCGATGGGCCTGCAGCTGCTGCCCGCCTGGATCCCCAGATGCCTCCGCCAAGAGAATGGCAGCAACAGGATGGAGCAAAGCAATTATAGCTCATCAGGGGGCTGCTGGGGGTGGGTGGGCTCGTCATCGGCTGGGAGCCTTGGGCCCCCAGCTGGCTGGGCCTGGCGCAGTGGCAGGCGGTGAGGGGCGTGGGGGCAGGCCAGGAGCTGGGCCGAGGTGCCCAGGGGCTGTTGACTGAGGGACAATGCCCTGTGTGTCTGGCGGGGCTCTGGCGGGTGGCACCTCCGCCTGTGGCCTGCGGCCTGCCGGCCGGCCAGCACCCACAGAGCCAGCTAAGACAATCAGCTTCGTTTGCTTTGGGGATGGCAAGGGGGTGAGGGCAGAGGAGGGACAGACTGTCCGTTGGTCAGGAGAGCAAATGTTCTCGGAGTGAGCTGGCCAGGAGCAGGATACAGGCTCCATCTCCCAGGGAAACAGCCTCAGGCACGCCGGCCTCAGCCAGTCTCAGGTGAGCTCAACCGTTCTTAATGACCAGAGTCTCACTTCCTTAGTAGGCAGGCGGGCGGGGAAACTGAGGCTGAGCAGGAAGGGACTTGTCCAAGATTACACAGTGAGTTACAGATGACCGACCTGGGCTTCATACCTGGTCCTGTGCGGGGCTCTATCTATCCACCAGCCCAGGCTGTTTTTCTTGGGATATTTTCTGTGCAATTTTGGCCTGCTGGGAACATTTTTCTGAATCTCTATTCTCACGTGGGCCAAGTTTCAGACCCATGAAGGCTTCATAGCTGGTTGCTTTGACCTTCCTGATACAGTGCTCCCCCTCGCATAAAGAAGGTCTCCATTTCAGGGGTCTGGCCTTGTGTGGCTGTCTGTGACTTTGATTCTCTCTCAGCCTCAGTTTCCTTCTCTGTAAAATGGGTGTCATGTCCAGGAAGCAACAGTGGCCTGGCCCATTTCTCACAGAAATCTTTCCGAGTCTCAGTTCCCACATCCCTTGAATGAGGATCATCAGAGCACCCACCTTTGAAGGGCGTTATAAGGAGTGAAGGAAATAGCCCATGTTAAACAGTTGGCACAGTGCCTGGCACATAGTAACTGCTCAATAAACACTTAACTGTCTATTATGAAAATTACTATAAAATAATTTTATAATTTTTTTTATAAACGTTAGCTGTTCTAATTATTAGCCTTAGAGCTAGCACAGCTGGCATTGCCCAACCACGTCTTCTTTCTACCCTCTCGGGCCCACCCTCCTGGCTGAGAGAGTTCTGGGCTTCTTCGCAGGCTCCGGCGACAATTTTGTGAGCTCAGGTGACCCCAAGGTCTGTGTGTCCTGGAATCACATGCTGAACTGACCAGCCCCACTGGCCGAGGTCTCTCACTCAAGGGAACAGCCGAGCTGATTGTGAGCAAGCACGTCCACCCAGGAAGGCGGAGGAGGGAATGGAAGGGAGCCTGGGGAGGGCAGAGGAGGGACACTGTGACCAGACACCCAGGACAGCACTGTCTTGCTGAGGGCCACTCTTGGCCATTTACAGGAATCGGCCGAGGGAAAGAACACGGGGTGCAAGGCACTCCTGAATGTCACAAGATTAATCTGTCAGGGGCAGGTTTCCACAGCGTAACTGAGATGCTGGCTGAGGCTCGAGCTCATTGAGAGATACCACCATATTTGGTCAAATACTAGACAGGGCTCTATTCTATCGCTGGAAACTCCAGAGGGAGGGGAACTCTGAAAATACCTCCTCAGGCAACAAGGGCCCCCACTCCCACCCCAGGCTGTCCCAGCCCCACTGCCACTGTCCTTTGAACCGGTGAAACAGGCAGTGTAAGGGGGCGAAGGATGGGGGCGGCCTGGTTATATTCTGGCGGCCTTATTGCTGCCCCTCTGCTGTTGCTGGCCATGGAGTCCGAAGGATATGCAGCTGAGGGGACCCCTCCCTGCCTCCACAGAAAGGTGGGGGAATTAAAGATGGGGCTGCAGGAGGTTCTTCTGCTTTCAAGGGCCCCTGAAACCACCAGACTTTCCTCATTGTTTCCGTCTCCCAAAGACAAGAATTATCAGCTTCACCAGTTTCCATCCTCGGTGCTTGTCGATATACATCCCACCGCCCTGGCACCAGAGTTCTGATGTAGCAGGCTCTGGAATCGGTACTTTAACAAGACCCATCTGTAAAGTACAGCAGAGGGAATATAGTCAACAATATTGTAATAACTATGTATAGTGTCAGGTGGGTACTGGACTTATTGGGGGGATCACTTCGTAAGTTATATAAATGTCTAACCACAATGCTGTACACCTGAAACTAATATAACATTGAATGTCAACTGGAATTGAAAAATTAAAAAATAACTAAAAAATAAATAAAATAAAAAGGCCAGTCTGGGAGCCACAGGGGTTGTCACCCATCATCTACCTCATTCCCCTGTTTTAGTACAACGAGACCAGGGCCCAGTTAGGGACAAGCCTTACCCAAGCTCACACAGAATGTTAGTGCCAGGGCTGGGTAAATCTGGTTTGAGCACAACTTAGTCCCTTAATTCTTACCACCCTTCCCCAAAACTTTATACATATAGCTCTGGGCCGGGCTGGGCCTCTGTGCTGGTCTGCAGGGGGCCCAGAAGCCAGGCCAGTTGTTCCGGGGACCCCAGGCCCCTCCCAAGGAGGAGGGGGATCTGTGGGGTACCTAGGCAGGAGCTGTGGAGAGGCAAGTATGGGCTTAGTGACCATCACTGGATTTCCTATTCTTGGCCAGCTCAGGCTGGGAAGGAGGCCCCTTTCTCCAGTCTTGGTTTTTAGAAAGCACTGAAGGGTCACCTGCCTTCAGGAACATCCTGAGTGCAAATTCTGACAGACCACCATGGGACCCAACCCCACAGGTCAGAGCCAGGCCTGAGAGGGAGGCACAGCAACCTGGGCTTCGGGGGCTTCTGCCCCACAGCAAAGTTGGGGTCCTTAGCCTTTACACACGGGAAGTGGTTGGTATACATGAAGGAGGGAATTGGGGATAGGCTGGAGAGCAAGGAGCCGGGGTGGTTACCCTTAGCTCTGGCTTCAGGCCTGGCCAGGAGCAGTGACTGCGATCACCACCAGGTGGCACCACCAGAAAGCCAGACATCCTGAAAAGCGTGGCAAACGCTGATGCAACATACACGCCAGCCACTTCTGTTCTCTGGAATGGGCCCTGGGGCTGAAAATGAGGGGACTGGGTAAGTGGGTGCAGGTCCTGTACCTGCCCCTAGCTGCCCAAGTGACCCTATTATTAATGAGGGCCAGTGCCCAGGACATCTTCCACAGACAGGAATGGCACAGCGAGCCAGGAGGAGGGCTGCTATCTGCTGTGTGAGTGATCCCCTTCACTTAGAGCACCTACTATGTGCTAGCCTCTAGGTATTGAGCACCTGGACATGGTAATTTTCAGAAAATTAGTAATAATAATAGCTGCTACTTAATATCTACTTAATGACTGCCAGACATTGTGCTAAGTCCTTCCTGTCCATTGTTTCATTAAATCCTCCCAACCACTGTGTGGTGAGGTCCTAATTTATCCCAAATCTAGAATGTGGGAAACTGAGGTTTAGGGAGCCAAAGCCATAGAGAATTCAAAGCAAGTTTGTCTGGTTCCTGCACGTGCTGTTCCCTGCAGTGGGGGAAGGAGAAGAGCATTGCAGCCAGGACAGGAGGGGGAATGTCCAGCTGTTCACTTGGTCATCGAAGGGGGGGTCTATGCTTGCCTCAGCCTCATCCTGATATCCTCAAAGAAACTGGACCCTGCATATTGCGGAGGTCACTGAACCCAATCCCAAACAAGAGTCCCCAAGGGGGACCTGAGAGCTCCCAGGGTGTGGGCACAGCACCCAGCAATGTTTCTGACATACAGTAGGCATTCATTAGATATTTGATGCATTGACTCAAACCAGCTGTCTGCCATACAGGGTGATAATGCTGGGAGGCCAGAGCAGCAGGGACCCGGAGGAGGAGGTGCAGCCCACAGGCTAAGGGTTCAGACTCCAAAGGTTGACAGATCTGAGTTCTAATCCTGCTTCTACCAGTTCACAGCTGCGTGACCTTGAGGAAGTTACTTGACTTCTCTGAGCTTTAGTTTCTCCTGCACAGTGGAGATGATAATAACTTGGCTCTCAGTGGATTGTTGTGAGGATCAAATGAGATGATGCACGTTCATGCACTAAGCAGGGTGCCTGACAAAAGTAAGCGCTCAATGAATGAACGGTAACAGCAATTGTCACTGTTCTTGTTAAAACAAGTTTCGAGTTGGACCTTCGGGGATATTTCTGGAGTATTCCTAGGCGTCGTTAGATGAAGACAAGAACCAGCAGAAGAATGCAGAGGCCCTGTTCCCAGTGGGCCCACCCTGGAGCCTCAGCTAGGCCGGGAG